ACGGTTTGCGGTCATGCTGTGAGCCCGAGCATGCTCGAATAAACCTCTTGCTTTTGCGTGGACTTGGTCTCTCAGAGTTTTCCTTGACAGGTGAGGCTGTCCTGAGCTCGGACCCTACCAAAGCAGTTTGCAAAAGAATAATTTCTATTTCTGCTTCTTTTCCTTCCTGTTTTAAGTTCATGGAAATTTTGTTTTCCCACCAGAAGGAGGTGAAGGGCCTGCAGGCGGCCTCCAAGAAGCTCGCCAAGGAGAACGAGTGGGGGAGGACCAAGCTGGACCACGCGAACGAGAAGAACACGGACGTGATCGCCCCGTGGAAGTCCAAGCTGGAGACAGCCATCGCCCCACACCAACAGGCCATGGGTGAGCCGAAGGCGTTCGTGAGCCGGGGCGTGGGTGCCGAGGCGGCCGAGCTGGCCGAGCTCAAGATGCAGATGGAGAGGCTGCAGTTCGAGTCCCAGCAGGAGGTGGAGAACTTGAAGGCCCAGCAGGTGGCTGAGCGTGCAGCGCACGCCGTTGAGCTGCAGACGCTCAGGTCGCGGCTGGTCAGGACGGCCCAGGAGCAGAAGAACAGCCTGGAGGCCGCGCGGGCCAAGCTCGACCAGACCGAGGATCAGCACCTGGTGGAGATGGAGGACGCCCGGAACAAGCTGCAGGAGGCGGAGACGAAGGTAAAGCACCTGGAGGGGTTGCGGGCCATGTGTAGTCAGCAAGCCCAGGCCCTGGCCGACACCACGGCGCAGCTGGAGGCCACCCAGGAGAAGCTCTTGCAGCTCGATGGGCTCCGGAAGGCCAGTTCCGAGGTAAATTGGGAATGGAGAAGCTCAGGCAGCAGCTCCAGGTGGCTGAGCGGCAGATTCAGGAGTTAGAGAATGCAAAGTGGGCCGAGAGCGGCAGGTTGGTACCCGGGCGCCCTCGCCCACTTCCACGCTCGCTCCCTGCATGCTGTGTGTCCGTCTGCTCGCCGCCGTGTTCCGGCTTGGTGCTGACAGGTCTCCCGGTCACGTCCCGTGCGGTTCCCTCTGATGGGACTGAGAACGTGTCGGCACGATTCTGGGGCCGTCATTGGTCCCCAGCACCCGGATGCCGTGCTAGCCTTGGCCCCAGCTAATCGGGCCCGTCTGGGGTCTTTCTGAAACTGAGAACTCTTCACAAGGCCAGTGAGAAAACGAGATAGGAGCCCCCAGAGCAAACCTCGGCCCCCCCACCCCCTGCGTACTCGCCGAGTCCGCCCAGACCCTTGGGCTCGAGGCTGGCTGCGAGGGTCTTTCCCTGGCCTTGATGACCACCTGATCGTGTGACTGGCTTTGCCGTCCTCTCCCCGAGGCGCCTCAGTTTCCAGCTGGTGCTCAATGCCTCTGAACCTCTGAGCTCCCTCAGGGCTGGTGACGTGGCCCATCTTGGTATTTCTCATTGCCCGCCCCTCCCTGCCTGCAGCACAAGCCCCCGCCCAGCCCTGCAGAGATTTCATCCCTTTCAGTCTCTAAGGGGTGCTTGGGCCAAGTCCGCCTTCCAGCATGGCCTCCTGCTAGCCACGGGCATGGACTCTCATGGTAGTGATGTCGGTGAGCCCTACGGGTGACTTATGTGAAGCGGGGAGGAGAAAGACGGTCACTTTCTCCCCACCCGCCTCTGCCACCCGGGACCCAGGGTTACTGGGTACTTGTCTCGCCTCACAGAAAGGAATTTCAGGAGTAGACAAGCAGTGAAACAAATAGATTTTATTTGGAGGATTTTTGGAGAGGGAGAGAAAGGCATAAGCAGATAAGCGGGGGAATGGAGAGTAAGAGAGAGAGTAACACGTCCAGAGAGAACGCGGGCTTCTCCGAGGGTGGAGAGAGCCCCTCCACACATCCCAGCATTAGACACGAGAGCATGAAAGTACACATCTCAAGAGGGGAGATACGGGCGACACACGTGCTCAGCCACGTGGACGTAAGCACACATGGGCTCAGGCAGCATGTGCGCACCCTGCCTTTCTTCCAGGTGGCCTTTATAGGGTTTCTCCAGCCTGTCCCCACGTGAAGCTTCTTCCCGGGTAAAAGTCCAGTTGCTAAGGAGATTACCAGGGAGGTCCAAAAAGAGGAATTTCATGGGAGGCCTATATCCTGAGGGCCTGTGGATGGTCTTATCAGGCCTTTGCTTTCTGTATCCACAAGGTGGGTCATTCCTAGAATTCTTCTTCCATGAAACTGTGTTTCATTGCAAAGGGCCTTTCCCTATCTACTTTTCTACATCAGTAGCCCTGACCCTGGGGAAGGACAAGAGAGTGAGTTCTGGGCCAAGCCGAGGAAGCTGCATTTCTCACCAAGGAGCCCCGAGAAATGCCCTTTTCCTCCTATAGGATTGTGGTGGCAGAGACGTGCCCTCCCAGCCGCCCACTTCCCCCCCTTTCTCCCCCCTCCCCCCGACGCTGAGCGCTTTTTTGGAGAACCTTCTCTGTTTGCCAAGTTGGAAGGGCTGTGGGATTTGTAGACAGGACTGACAGACATAACAGAAGGACCCAGAGACCCCCGGGAGTTCCTCTCAGGACTCAGGACTCCTTAGCTGGCATTCCGGAAACACCGGCTGAAACAAACGGAATCAATTCCTAGGACACAGCAGGGGATAGTTGAGCCACTTGTTCGCATCAAGATGTAACAAACGTCAAGTTCTGGTGACTGCTGCCTAGTGGATTAGAGGTTCTTCATTTTAAATTTCATATTGAAACCCCTCAAACTTTTAAAGTCACAGACAAGAAACTACAAGAAAGTAAATCTTGGGGGCCAGAGTGATAGTACAGTGGGAAGGGCATTTGCCTTGCACACGGTCTACGTGAGTTCGATCTCCAGCATCCCATAGGGTCACTGTCATTGTCACTGTCCTCCCGTTGTTCATCGATTAGCTCGAGCAGGCCAAAAAAAAAAAAAAAAGAGATAAACCTTTTCTTCCCTCCCTCCCTTCCCTTTCTCTTTCTTCCCTGTTTCCTCCCTCCCTCCTTCGTATCCTTAGCCTCCCTCCTCCCTTGCTTACTTCCTTCTTCCTCGCCAAGCCATGGTCTGGGCTCTGGGGTCCTCCCACCCAGCAGTACTGGGTCTTTTCAGCTTGTGGACCGATCTCAGGCTCGCCCAGTTGTGCTGCAGTTCTACCTCGGACCTGGTGTGTACTCCAGCCCTTTGTACCGTCTCTCCGCCAGCCAAATGAACGAGGCTTTGGAGAAAGAGCTTCGGAGTTTGGTGAGTACCAGGGGAGTCGGACGCTGATCTTTACCTTGCTGAGGGTAAAGCGAAGCCTCCTCAAGCGAGCTCGGCCCTGTGGCCTCTCAGGCTCACGAGTGTGTCAGCTGGAAGCCCCAGGGGCTGTGCAAGCCCCCGTTGGGGCAGCAAAGTTAGGTGGGCTGATCTGTCCCTGCTATGCCCTCCGCCTCTGCCTGATCAGTGACTGGCCAACGATGCTCCCGGAGTGTCGGGCTCCTTGCTCCCCTCAGAAGCGCCCCCTGCCCCCTCAGCTCTGTCTCCCCTGCCAGCCGGGAGCACTGGGGGCTCACAGCAAGGGGAGGTGGGTGAGAGACATGCACTGGGAAGGCCGCTTTTCTGGAACCTTCCAGACACCTTCCTGGGGTGGATCAAAGTGTGTTTTCTTGTTTTCTTTTTAGGATTTTTTTTGTTTGTATTTGTTTTTTTGGTTTGTGTCTTGGGTTTTCTTGTATTCAGCTGTGCTGAGACTTTCTCCTGGCTCTGTACTCAGGGATCATTCCTGGTGGCCCTCAGGGGACCACGTGGAATGCTGGGGATTGAACCTGGGTTGAATACATACAAAGCAAAACACCTAAAGTATCTCGTTGTTTTTGTTTTTGTTTTTGGCTTTTGGGGTCACACCTGGTGATGCTCAAAGGTTACTCCCAGCTCTGCACACAGGAATTACTCCTGGTGGAGTTTCGGGGACCCAATGGGATCTGGGGATTTAACCTGGGTCAGCCACGTGCAAGGCAAATGCTCTTCCCGCTGTCCTGTCACTCTGTCTCTGGGCCTGGGTGAGCCAGGCCTTTCTGCTGAGACAGTGCTGACTGGATCCTGTCAGGACCTGGGACTGAGCACTTAGGAGCCTTTCAGAACCTGTGGGAGGATTCCAAGGGAAGCGTCCTTGCTGGGGCAGCATGGGCCAAGCACAAGCGGCATCACATGCTATCTGTGTGTGGTCGAGAACATGTGTACACACGTGTGTCCACAGCCATGCACACACCCCAGTATACACACATGGGCTTCTGTCATGTGCAGACTCATACATGTCCTTGGACATGCAAACAAGTACATACATACTTGCACAACTCACTCATGTTTGCCAGGCAGATACACACTGGGCATTGGTAGCTGAGTTTGGGGTGGATTATTTTTGTTTTCTGGGTTTTTTTGTTCTTGTTGTAGTTCTTGTTTTTGGTCTTTTTTTGTCACAGTTGGGGATGTTCAGGGGTCACTCCTGGCTCTGCACTCAGGAATTACTACTGACGGTGCATCCCCTATGGGATGCTGGGGATCAAAGGTGGGTCAGCCTTGTGCAAGACAAACACCCTCCCCGCTGGGCGATCGCTCTGGCCCTGGGATATACATATATATATAATGTATATATATGTATATATATATATATATATTTGGTGGGGGGGGGACTAGTGGCATGCCTGTCAGTCCTTGGAGGCGACTCCTGGCTTTGTGCTCAGGATATTCCTGTTAGTGCCGCGATTCAAGCAGGGCCAAGTGGCCTTACCCAGTGCTCTCCCAGCCCCCAGATGTTCACCGTGTTTATTGGGGCTCCCCGCTAACTCGGTGGTACTCCTGCTCAGGGTCTAACCGGCTGGCTGTACTCGGGCACCTGGACCCTGTGCCAGCCCTTCAGCCCCCAATATCTACGTTTGGAGTGCAAGTTCATTTTCATGAACAGCATCACAAAATGGAGTGTCTCCCATGTCGTTGATTGGAAGCTACTTTGCACCCTCCTGGTCTGAATATCTGATTCTGTTTCTCTAGAAAGAAAAGTTCGCAGAGGCTTCAGAAGAGTCAGCCTCTGTTCAGAAAAACATGCAAGGTGGGTGCGGGCCATCGGGTGGCTGTGTCGGGGCCGGGGCTCTGGGGTCCCACACTCAGGGCTCTGCCCACTCATTTCCCGCAGCTGACTTCCTCCGGCTCTTTCCTCTTTGACTTAAAGTTCATTCCCAGAGACCCGAGCAGGCCAGGCACTTGCCTTGCTCACTGCCAAGCTGGTATCCATCCCTGATACCAGCAGGCTGATCCCTGAGTGTAGAGCCAGGAGGTACCCTGGGCGTAGCATGTACGCGCACAAAGCCCCCCCCACACACACACACACATCACACACATACACATTGTTTTTTTTTAATTTATTTTTTTGTTAATAATGTAGGAGTACTACTAATTATTCAGCCATTGATGAAGCTGATTTAATTGGGCATGAACTCCACATTACTTATTTTTTTAAAATTCTGTTCTGAATGTTAACTTTATTTTATTATTTTATTATTATTATATTTCCCTCCTTTTTTTGATTCATGTGAGATATAGTTACAAAGCTTTCATATTTGAGTTTCGGTCATACAATCATCAAACACCAGTCCCATCACCAGTGCACATTTTCCACCACCAAAATCCCCAGAATTCCACCAGCCCCACCCCTGTGCCAACCCTTCCCCTGCCTGTGTGGCAGGCACACAATTTCCCCCATACTCTCTCTCTACTTTGGTTACATCCGATATTTTGACACCAGTCCCACCAGCACTCAAACCTGCTGAAAAGGCAATGCTAGATGATTTGTTTCGTATTGCTTCTTATGGCTAGAATATAATGACCAGGAATATCTGTGTCATTCTCTTCCGGGAGCTGTACTGTATAGTCTCTGGGTCTTGGCCATTGCCGAGATTACGTGGTGCTGGGGGGCAGTTTGTGGGTGTGACTGCCAAGCTACTGGAAAACTGGGAATGTGGCGGGAGGAGGCCCAGTCCTGATCTGAGCAAGCTTGGAGCTCTCAGTCACGGGTTCCCGTTTACCTCCGGGCCACTGACCCTAACTGCATCTTTTGATCTCTTTTGAGATGTATGGGTCTCTGAAATAAGGCCAATAAATGAGCTTACATAGCTTATATAGTGTTTTGTGGATGTGTCTCCCACATACTGAACTTTTGTCCGTTTAATTTCTTGGTAAATTTGACCCCAAGTTGTTGGGGTCTGACCAAAGGCACAGGAGCAATTTTGGGGTATCTGGAAGTCTGCAGGCACCATCAGGCTGCTGATGCAATCTCCCCGCAGGTACAGGTGGACCTGCTGGTGGCATCATAGTCCCTACATCACTGTTTGTGGTGACATGCTGGTGTGCTTGGGAAAGTGCTGTGTGACCTGGCAGGGAGCTGGCTGGATGGGAAGATTTTGGGATGCCCCCAGCCAAGACCTCGAGTTCCTCCTGGCCCCAGACCCACCGTCTCCATGCCGAAACCTCCTGGTGTTGCCCTCGGCTGGGGGCTTCTCCCATAGAGACGCTTTATCGCCCCCGTGACCTCAGACTCCAGTGCGAGATTTGATGGAGCCTGCCAGACAGACTCTCAAATAATCCCGATGGTGCGTGAAATATATTAAACTTCTAACTTTATCCTAACTAGAATCTGTTGATAAGTTACATCAAAAAGAAGAACAGTTTAAGGCGCTGTCTTCTGAACTGGAGAAGTTGCGAGGAAATCGAACAGGTAAGAGATGGTCTCTGGGTGTCGTGCAGGGGCACCCCGGGCGTGAGGCGCCTCCCTGCTGACGCTCCCGCGCCCCCTCCTCAGCCTCCCGGCCTCCCTCAGGGAGCCCCCACAGCAGGTCCCAGTGCCCCTCGCGCCCGCCCCCCCATCAGTTCCTGGGGCCCTGTGACACTCCGGCCACCTCGGCCCTGGGACGACTGTCAAATGCTGCCCAAGGTCCCCCCATGAGGGCCATCTATGAGGCGCCTTGTACGGTCGGACCCCCCGTCCTGGCCCCATCCTTTGCTCGCTGCCTGCGTTTCTTCCCTGTCTTGTGAGTTGTCCTTGGTTTCACTGGCTGCTGCTCGGTTCGAGCAGTTTTCAGGGGCCAGAGAGTGAAACATCCTCGGAGGGAGGCCTGGGACAGAAGCGCAGGGGACACTTCGTTGCCTACGACACCCCAAAGCTGTTCTCCCCCCCTCCCCCCGCATCTCTCCCTGACGTTCTCTCTCCCTCTGTCCCTCTCACTCCTTCCCTCCCTCGCTCCCTCCCCCCTTCCTCTCCTCCCCTCCCCTCAGATATGGAGGCTGAATTCAAAGAGAGAGATGTGCGAGAAGAGCAGTTGATGAAGGCAAAGGCCAAGTTGTCAAACGACATCGCGGACATCATGAAAATGTCCGGGGAAAACTCGTCACAGCTGACGAGAATGAATGATGAACTACGCCTGCAGGAGAGGTGGGTGTGTCGGGCTGTTTTTCCGGAAGGTTCTGTGGTGACACCTGCAGCCACGAGTCACCCTCCCAGAATTCTGTCTCAGGCCCTCTCCGAGATCTCTGAGGCTCCTTCAGGGACCCTCAAGTCAGCTGCACAATCGGAAGGCCGCAGCGTCACCCACTTTTTTGTGTGATTTCTGAAGAAAAGGTGGCGGGTTGCTTGTGGCACGGCCTGTCCCAGGCAGCGGAAATAGTCCCCATCCGAGGAAGGACAGCTGACCCGTGTCACACGGAGAGAAGTTTCTCTGTTTTGTCTTAGGGCCCCTCCTGGGGGTGCTCAGGGGTCACTCCTGGCACAGCTGCCGGGTCATAATGGGGTGCTGGGTGGAACCCAGGTCGGCCACTCACGGCAGGCTCCCCCTCTGCCGCTTCCAGCCCTTGTCTTCTTCCCTCTGCATAGCTGCCGGATAAAGAACGAGTGTTTCAAGACAAACCTTTTGCGGGCATGTTTAGAACTATTCGGTTTTATTACTTAGTGTGTGTGTGGGGGGCGGGTGTTATACCCGGAGATGCTCAGGGCTTCCTCCTGGCTCTGCACTCAGAAATTACTCCAGGCGGTGCTCGGGGGACTCAGTGGGATGCTGGGAATCCAACCTGGGTCTGCCACATGCGAGGCAAACGCCCTCCCCGCTGTGCTATCGCTCCAGCCCCACCATTCAGATTTGACTCTTGCACTTTTAATGCTTAGCCGAGCGGCCAGCCTGCCCCAGCTGGGCACGGCGTCGGAGTTTCCCGCAGAGAGTGCCGGTATCTGAGGGCCATCCTGGGATCCCCCAGCAGAGCTTGCCTCCTGGGTTCGGCACCCCTCTGATCCAACTGTACGTAAATCTTCCAGGGAGCTGTCAGACAAAATTTCAGACGGATTTTCAAAAATAAAATCGGCTGATAGTAGAATGGGTAGTGCTGCCTTGTACTCGGCCAACCCGGGTTGATCCCCAGCATCCCGTATGGTCCTCCGGCCTTGCCAGCAGTGATCCCTGAGCACAGAACCCTGAGCGAGACCCAAACACCACCAGGTGTGGGGCCCCCATCCCCAAAATAGGCAGGTCGGTATGTTGACCCTGTGAAGCTAACTGTATTTGAGCCTCTCCATCCTGCCTGTGTGTGTGTGTGTGTGTGTGCGCGCACGCGTGCGCAGGTAAGACTACTCTGAGATTTTCATTTCTGGTATTTAGGCCACATGAAGTGCTTGGCTTGCTTGTGCCTGCTTGATCTCATTCTTGTTTCCATTCTTCCCCACTTTTTGTTTCTGTAGTCATGAACTTACTTATTAACCTCAGACAAAGAGGAAATTGAGCTGATGTCGGAGGATCGCAGGGCCCTGAGGTCAGAGAATCAATTGCTGGCGAAGGAGAAGCTCTCTCTGAAGTCAGAGAGAGAGTCATTGCTATTGAAGTTGAAGGAAGCGGAGGCCAAAAACTCTTCGCTGCGGGAAGAGCAGAGGAAGCTCTGGCTGTTGAACCAAGCGATTCTTTTCGATAAAGAGAAAGTCATCGAGGCCAGGCGGGCCGCAGAGAAGCTCTGGCAGGAGGAGTGGCTCGGCCGAGAAGCCCTCGAGGCGGAGAAAGAGAAAGTGCTGGAAGAGGGCAGGGCAGTGCAGGAGGAGCTCCAGAGGGTGCTCGCGGAGAACGACGCCCTGCAGGTCGCCAAGGTGGGGCTGCAGGCCCTGGTGGAGGAGCTGCAGATGAGCAAGAGCAGCCTGGTGGCCGAGTGTAAGAAGGGCCTGGAGGAGAGGGGCCAGCTGGAGGAGCATGCGAAGAAGCTGGTTCTGGAGAACCTATCCCTGGCCAAGGACAAGGACAACATCATCCAGAAGCTGCAGTGCTCCTACGAGGAGCTGGCTCGGGATCAGAAGTCGCTGGTGCAAGAGATCGAGGAGCTCACGGCCGAGAAGAAGTCGGCCGTGGAGAAGCAGTCGGGCCTCGACAGCCTGTGTGTGGCTCTGAAGCTGGAGCGTGACGGCCTGGCCCAGAGCAACGAGGAGCTATAGCTGGAGAAAGACCTGCTGAGCCAGGAGCACGAGAAGCTGGGCGCCAGCCTGGAGGCGGCGCTACAGGTGAAGGAGCTGCTGGGCGCCAAGGCCAGCTGCCTGCGCACGCAGCTGGATGAGGCCACAAGGCCGTGCACAAGGCCAAGCTGAAGGCGCTGCAGACGCAGGCGGCCAACGCCCACCTGGCACAGCTGCTGGAGCAGATTAAGACCAGCAGGGAGAACTCCGACTCGGAGTGCGTGCAACTTCTGCATGAGAAGGAGACGCTGAGCCTGGCTGAGCGGCAGCTGGCGGCCGAGAAGAAGGAGCTCCTCGGCGAGAAGGACCTCCTGGCCCAGAAGCTCGGCCGCTGCTTCGAGGAGGCGTTCCGCGTGGAGTCGGCCCTGCGCGAGCCGCTGAACAGCCTGGGCTCCGAGAAGGAGCTGCTGGGTCAGAAGGCCACGAAGCTCCATCAGCAGCTGGACTGGTTGCTGAAAGACCAGGCACTGCTGGAGGCGCAGCAGACCGAGCTGCTGGCCGAGCGGGAGGCGTCCCTGCAGGCCCTGGGCGAGCTCCAGCAGAAGCACGAGGAGGCGGCGGCGAAGTGCCCGGGTGGCCGTCCAAGAGAAGAGGAAGCTGCGCGGTGAGCTAGACGTGCTGCAGCGGGAGCTCCAGGGGCAGCGCCATGAGAACCAGGGGCTGGTGGCCAGCCAGGGCGCCCTCGAGGTGGCGCTGCAGGAGGCCCAGGACGCGGCCCGCAGCCTGGAGAAGACACACGCCAGCGTGCTACAGGCCAAGTAGGCGCTCAACGCCGAGTGGTAGGAGGAGTGCTGGCGGCTGGTGGAGGACGGACTCGCGGCACAGCAGGCCCTGGTGCAGGAGCGGGAGGCCCGCGCCCAGAAGACCCAGGCGGCCGCCCACGAGACCAGCCAGCTGCGAGGCCGCCTGGGGCTGCTGGAGCAGGAGGCGGAGGAGCTGCGGACGCACACACAGGGACTGCAGGCCCAGCGACTGGACCTGCTGGAGGAGAAGGCGCGGCCCGAAGGTGGCCGAGATCCTGCGGGAGAAGGAGATGCTGAGCGCCAATGCCGCCTGGCTGGCCACCGATATCGAGGCCCTCAAGGGCGACTTCGTGGCCCTGTCCAAATCCAAGCTGGAGCTGCAGGGCCTGCACAGCTGCCTCGCCAAGATCCTGGCCGACCTGCAGCGCAAGCACGAGGCGGCCCTGGCCAAGCAGGCCCAGCCCGGGCAAGAGAACGAGAGCCTGCTGGCCGAGAAGAGGGAGCTGCAGCAAGAGAAGGCTGAGCTCCTGCAAGAGAAGGAGCAGCTGGCCGGCAGTTACTTCCTCCTCCAGAAGGTCAGTCGGCTGGCCCAGACCAGCAGCCACGTCTCGGCCAACCTCCTGGAGGCCCAGAAGGGGAACCACGTGCTGAGGAAGGACAAGATCAGGCTCGCCGTTAAAATCAGAGAGCTCGAGACGCTGCCGTCGTTTACGGTAAAGTGGAGCAGGCCCCACCCCCGTTGGCCCCGGGCACCCCCTTTTAGCGGTTAAGAGGATTGCTCTTTGTCGGCACAAGGAGAGGTGCACCCCCACAGAACCCGTGTGTCACGGGCTGTTTGCTGCGGGCGCAGGGACAGCTCGTCACCACGTGCCTGCTGACCTCTAGGACAAGGCATAAGCTGTGAATAAAACCAAAAAGAACAGTATGTTCATATCCGGGGGGAGTTCTCACGGAAGATGGCACTGTGGCTCTTCAAGACGTAAGGGAAGTCATGAGAGAGGCACTGAGTTGTAAAGTAAAGCGGTGTCTTCCGGGGGGACTTTGAGCGGTTGCCCTGAGTCTGCTCACTTGGGACTCGGGGGTGCCCTGTGCCACCAGCAGTGTGCCCGGTGCAGGGCAGCCTGGACTCGAGGGTGCCTGGTGCCGGGCAGGTGTTCTCTCTTCCCAGCTCACTCAGGGTTTGCCTTTCTCCCACTCCCACACCTGTGCTCACGGCTCACATCTCCTCTCCTTACCCCCCCCCACACACGCTTTCCAACCAGGCCTGCTTAGCTGTCCGCTCATGTCATTTTTATACTGTGTGAGGAATGGAGGCTCTTGGGAGCACTAGGCTGTTTCGGGGCGTCAGTCTTGACGCTGAGCGGTTTAGACGTGAGTCCCCGCGGGGTGAGTGGTGCCCAGCGGGGTCCGGAACCACTGTGGCAGGTTTGTGTGGCGTTTCGCGCTGTGCTCTGCCACTGCGGCCAACCCCTCCCTGGCCGCCCAGCGTGGCTCAACGTGGTTTCTCTCTCCAGGCTGTGCAGACAGCGGAAGATGCCAGGCATTTTATGGAACAGCTGTCCCAAGAGAAGACAGAGACCCTGGCCTCCCTGGAGGACACCAGGAACACCAATGCAAACTTGCAGAATGAGGTGGGTGATGGTGGTGACCAGGGCGTGTAGGCCCGGCCTCAGCCTTGAGAGAAACCATATCGTGGGCCAGAGTGATAGCACAGCGGGGAGGGCGTTTGACTTACACACGCCAGACCCAGGTTCAATCCCCGGCATCCCATATGGTCCCCTGAGCACTGCCAGGAGTAATTGGTCCCTGGTTCTCACATGGGACAGGAGGGGAAGTGTACCCCTGCGTGACCCCTGTAAGACCCCTGGGGAGGTGCTGCGCGGAGTGACCACACAGGATCCGGGGGACATGGGGCGGCCTGGCGAGATCACTGAACAGCTGACCACTCCCAGACTGCTCGGAGGAGCAATGAGCCCGGCAGGGACTGGACGCCCCAGTTAGCTCGCCCAGAGCCTGAGCCAGGACAGGAAGAGAAGCCACATGTGTTGACATACGCAGCATCTCAAGGCTCTTTGATGACTGTGAGAAGGCGAGCCACTGCCCTCTGACCACACAGCCCCACTTTCCTGGGCTCGAGTGACTGCTGACGGCCTGGACTGCTCCTCCCTCGCCAGGAGTGATCCCTGAGAACAGAGCCAGGGCTTAGTCCCCACCCCACCAAACAAACCAAACTGACTACCCACAAAGGTTATAGATAAGCGTGTATACATACACAGACATGTACATATGTATATATGCGTGTACGCTTCAAAAGAGTCGGGGAATATCTACCATTTAAGATATCCGTGAATGGGGCCGCAGCTGTAGCACAGCAGGTAGGGTGTTTGCCTTGCACATGGCCAACCCAGGTTCCATCCCCGGCATCCCATATGGTCCCCGAAGCACAGCCAGGAGTAATTCCGGAGTGCAGAGCCAGGAGTCACTCCTGAGCAACGCCCGGTTCTGACCCCAAAATCCCCCCTCCCAAATTAATTGATGAATTAAAATAACAGAAGCCAAAAAGAAGGAAGCTGAGGAAGAAGGGACTGTGCTCACCTGGCACCCGTGAGAACCAGGGCCCGGGCACCTGCTGCCAGAACCCCACCCCCACACGCTCCCAGCACAAGAGGTGATGCTTACGGAGTGAAAGGCCCCATGGACAAGGACACATCCCTTCAGTCAAGGGGTCACGTCCTTGCCAGAGCCAAGAAGCCAGACACCTCCACTGCCCTTACTCCTGCTGCTCTCCCAGAACCTGGGCTTCGGGCTCCCATCAAATTGGCAAATCTTCACTTTGACAGACTCAAACACCACTTTGGAGGGCCTCCTTCCCATCAGGAAGGTCCCGTCGCAAACGGAAACGTCCACCAACATGTGGCTGTCCCGGCCACCTGGCGCATGCTCTGGGCGCAGAGCTGGGGGAGTCTGGTCCTCTGGGCCGCCTTCCTGCTTCTTGCTCCTGTCGAGGGAGCCAGCTGGGTGGGGTCCTCTGGGGTGTGCACACTTGGCTGCAGACCCCAGTGCCCGCACCTACCATCAGCAGGCTCACGTCTGGCCTGCGGCAGGAGTCAGCCTTGGGGCCTCCTTGATGTCTCTCCTTCCCCAACCCTCTTCCATCACACCCGGGCCTGCAGCGCTTTATAGTTTGAATCCTCTCTGAGGAAGGGGACCATCTGGGTCCCCATGCCCTGTGGAGTTCCCGCACACCCTCACTTCCTCACTTCCTGCACTTCTGTACTTAACAGCCGGTGGCCCTGGACGGCACATGTGGGCTGAAGTGAACTTTACATGTGGGCTGTGGACGTGGACCCTGCATGGGCTTGTTGGGAACTGAACATTTCCATGTTTTTTTGTTTTTATTTTTCAGCTGGAGGAAGAGAGATCTGTGTTTCTTGGCTCCAGTGTGGGGGGGCCTGGGCACTCTCAGAGACATGTCATCAGAACTTGCCCTGAGGGAGAAAAAGAATCAGTCTGTTTTTCTGGTTTTCTTTCTTCTTTCTTTGGGGGCCACACCTGGCGATACTCCGGGCTTCCTTCTGGCTCTGCACTCAGGAATCACTCCTGGCTGCTCTCCAGTGGCCCCTGTGGGATGCCAGGGATCAAACCTGGGTTGGCTGCGTGCGAGGCAAGCACCTTTCCCGCTGTGCTATCACTCAGACCCAAACCTGCCAGTTTTTAAATGAAACATGAATGTTTGTGCCTACAGTCATGCTTGCTTTTGTAAAGTGGGATTTTTCCCCCCTGTGGATTTTAAAGAAGTGAGTCTGTCTTTGTAGGAGAGGGAAGGCCCTCTTGACTCCCTGCTCTGAGAGGAACCGAGGGGGCCCAGCATGTCCTCCTGGGGTCTTCCCTGGGGCACCCGGGAGCTTGCGCTCAGGAAGGGAAAGGGGAGCTCTGGCTGCCTCCAACCCTGGGGCGGGGACTGGAAGCGGGGCCCAGCCTCCTCTGTGGCAGGCTCCGATGGCTCCCGCAGATGGCTCACCGTCTCACGCTCTCCTTTACCACAGATTGATTTCCTGAATTCCGTGATTGTGGACCTCCAAAGAAAGAATCGGGACCTCAACAATAAAGTGGAGATGATGTCCGAGGCTGCTCTCCAGGAAGGGGGACGACCTCAACAATTGAACAATTACGACAACAACGGTTTCGGCCCGGCCACCCCATTCTCTGCACTGTGCAGAAATCTCCAGCAGTTGATGGATGACATAACAGTCTACTTGTGAAACACCTAAAATGACCAATTTACTGTTTTTATAAGCTTTACTTTTTTTGACTGTGCGGTTAGATGATGTATGATGAGAAATTCAACATTAATTCTTTTGGATTTTCTTATCACTAAAAAATTAAATGAAGGACCTCAACCATCAGAAGTTTATCATCCAGTTTGAATCTATTTTTTTTCACTTGAATGTTTTCTAGTTCTGTAAAAAGTGATAAATAATGTACCATCCAGGCTACATGTATAATAAGAACTTCTATCATTGTATATATGCTTTTGATGTATTTTCCTCTGGAGATTATCAACTGTCTGACAAGTGAAAGATCTGTATCAATTGAAATTTTTAGTAATAACCATTCTTGAAATTGTTTCACAAACTATGTAAAGCAGTATTAAAATTTGAGCAAACAAGTGTCCTATATCTACTTAATAAAATTATTTCTTTTTGCCAGTGATAACTGATTATGCTCAGGTTCATTTATAAAAGATTTTTGGCTAACAATCAAGAATTATAGAGTCAAATAAGTCAAACAGTTTCTACAATGGAATTCTGATACACCAATTTCTTTTTGTTTCTTTATGTTTGTGCCACACCTGGTGATGTCTTAGGGCTTATTCATGGCTCTGCACTCAGGAATCACTCCTGACAGTGCTTGGGCAGACTATATGGAATGTCAGGGATTGAAGCCAGATTGGCCAAAGCAAATGCCCTACCAGCTGCACTATTGCTCTGGGCCTGTGAACCATTTTCTTAAAAGCGTTTATCTTGGGCTAAAGAGATAGTGCAGTGAGTAGGGTACTTGCATGTGGCTGATCTGGGTTCAATGGCAGGAATCCCATCCAGTCATCTGTGCCCTGGCAGGAGCAATGTCTAAGTGCAGAGGCAGGAGTAAACCCTAAGAAGCACTGGGTTGGGGGTATGGTGCCACCAGCAGGTCAGTCTGTACCTGTGAGGCGAGTGCATCAGCAGCCTGATGGCGCCTTCAGACTTCCAGGTACCCCCAAATTGCTGCCGTGCGTTTGGCCAGACCCCAAAAACTTGAGGCAGAGTTGACCAAGAAAGTAAACAGGTAAAAGATATGTGGGAGATACACCCACAAACCACCTCCAGTTCAGCTATATAATTGGAGACATGGCCGCTCTGGTTCCTGATTGAACTGCTTAACGGCCATGATCCCAGAGAATCAGAAACAAATCTCGAAACCCAACAGCTTTTGGCAGAAATGTGTCCAGTCCCTGCAGTAAGTTAGAGGCGCTGGGCCACCCCAGGTGGGAATAGATTTTGTGCCTTGGCCTGTTCCCCCTGACAGCCCGCTGGCCGCCATCCTGCAGAGGCCACTGGACAGTCAGATTTAGGCCCACAGTGACGAGACACGTAGGACCTCATGGGATGGGGGTGGAGCTGGCCCTTTCCTCCCCAACAAGACCTCAAGTCGTCACCCACAAACGGCCTCTCTGGCTTCTGATCAAGTTGTTTAACGGCCATGATCCCAGAGACTCAGACACAAATCTCGGAATCCAGTGGCTTTTGGCAGAAATGCATCCAGACCCTGCAGTAGGTTACTGTCGCTCGGCCATTCCAGGGAAGAAAGGGTGCTGTCCCTCCACTTGCTCCCCCTTGGCGGCTCGGTGGCCGCCATCCTACAGAGGCCACTGGACAGTCAAGTTTGGGCCCTCAGTGATGAGACACGTGGGGCCTCACGGGATGGGGGTGGGACCAGCCCTTTCTTCCCCTTCCCAACAAGACCCCTAGTCGCCGCCCACTAACGGCCTTTCTGGCTCCGATCAAGCTGCTTAACGGCCATGATCCCCGAGACTCAGGAACAAATCTCGGAACCCAGCAGGTTTTGGCAAGAAATCCCTCCAGATTTAATTGTTAAAATTTTGGAATTTCAAAATCACGCAGCCACTACTGCAGCCACACGACACCATATGTTATTCATAACCAGGAATAGAAAACAAATTGTCTACTGATGCCTTTTCAGGAGATCTGAATTTTGGGGTAAAATCCCAAATAATAATAGTGGATCCAGTGTCAAAATATTGAATGAAATCAAAGTAGAGATAGAGTAATGTGGAAATCATCTCCTCCACAGGTAAGGGGAGGGTGTGGGGTGGGGGTATACTAGGGGTTTTGGTGGTGAAAAATGGGCACTGGTGTAGGTACGGGTGTTTCATTGTATGACCAAAACTTAAACCCAAAAGCTTTGTAACTGCTATCATGGTGATTCAATAAATAAAATTATAAAAAAGGAAAATAAAGAACCACTGGTGAGGTTTAAAGGTATAAAAAACCCTACACAGGGGGCTGGAGAGATAGCACAATGGGTAGGACCTTTGCCTTGCACGCAGCGGACCCGGGTTCACTTC